AAATAGCAAACTATACAGCTGTTAACTGCTAAGTCAACCATTATCAGTATTGCACCTCCTGGCCTTTGAACTGTGGTCAAGTGGCTTAGAAGAGCCAATCATGGGGGTTGTATTATGTTGTAGCCTCCTGTTTATCAAGCTCAGGGTACTCAGCAGCCTTTTTTCAGTATGTGTTGGAGCAGACATGGAATGTGTGTTGGAGGAGACAAGAAGTATATAGAAAGAGATCACAGAGTGTTTGCAGGCAAAGATATTTATTGCTATACTGCCATAGAAGGCTGCAGAATAGTGCCCTGTTTACAGTCAGTCATTTAGAATATGGGAGGAGACATCGAATGTGTGTTGGAGAGACCTGGAATCGATAGGGAGAGATCGCAGAGTGTTTGCAGGTAGAGATAGTTGCTGCTATGCGGTGCTGCAGAAAAGTGCCTAAATACTGTGCATAGAGTCAGTGCAACACAATATTTCTGGCATTTCTTCTTTGAAATAGTGAATTTTGGTTTCTTGAGTAAAATCTGCCTGGTCTATCGCTTTTAAACTGTGGCATACTAAAGCTACCAGAAGAAACAGAAACTACCTCTCCTGCGCTCTATGACCCAGAGCAAGGGTGGATGGATGGAAACAGAACTTGAAAAATTTGACCATCAATGCATAGAAGGTTATGCGGCTCTAAACGGGGAAGCCCAACCAGTACTGCAAAGTGAAACAAAAAGAAAGTGCACCAACCTTGCGCATTACCTCAGTAAACTGTGATTTTATTAAATTGAGAATAATACTCACAAACAACGAAGTAAATCAGAGCTCAATGAAGAAGGGACCCCCTTCGAAATGCGTCAGCGTACTTTGAGAGTCTACCCCTACGATGTGACTCGCACTGGCTCTCCACTCCTAAAGTTTCTTTGAGGACTTTTATGCTTGATTTACTTTGTTGTTTGTGAGTATTATTCTCAATTTAATAAAATCATAGTTTATTGAGGTAATGCACAAGGTTGGTGCTCTTTCTTTTTGTTTCACTTTGCAATACTAAAGCCACCTACATAGTAAACATCGAGCTAGTGCAATTATTCTTGCTTTTGTGTAAAATAATACACTCTAATTTCAGTTTCCTAATTAATATCTGTGTGGTCTCCCCCTCTTAAATTGTGACCTACTAAAGTTGCTTACATTGTATACATAAAGTCTTTACAATATGTCTTGCTATTGGCATGGAAAGAACACATGGAACAGTTTATTTTACAATAAAGCCTGCATTGTCTCTCCCTACCAAACACAAAATTTCTGACTATTGTTTGTGAAAAAAAAACTAATTATAAAACTTGCTTGGTCTTTGCAGCCTAATCAAGCAGCTTACATAATTCACATCCACTGTACAGTATTTATGGCTATTTTCTATGAATGTTTTTGTTTTTTCATGCTGGATAGATATTTTTCACTTCGCAGCTTCAATAGGCAAAATCTCTTTGTTGATCTGCATTATTACTCTATTATATGTGTAAATAATTATTTCTTGTTCTCGTTCATTGTTTTTTAAACTGAGAGTATCAACTCTTTTGAAACCTGGGTGTCTAGTCTACCTTTTCTATTCTGCTATCTACAGCCTCCCTCCATGATGTTAGAAAAGACCATGATTGCAGTTAAGGACAAACTGAAAAGTTGTTTTACATCAGAGAACAATGTACAGATAATGCTTATGGAATTATTCATCTCCATCATCACCTCTGCAAAGCCAGTACCTGCACTGGCAGCCTTATGATGCAAGGACCCATTGTTTAAATATTTGCTAGGGACAAGGTTGTGTTGATGCCTAGGACCTGCTTTTTTTTAAATGTGGTGTCCAGGTTATATTGCTATCCCTGTTTATGTTTTATTCAACACAGCAAGGGCAACCTTTTAATTAAAAAAAAAGTTAAAAAATTAAAATTAAAATAATTGAATATCACTGTTGCAGGACGGCTTTTTCCTGTTTTAGTGACAACTGTGAAACTAAAGCCATTTGTGAGAGGGACAGCCAACCTTTTCCCATTAGGATCTCTGGAACAGCCCTTGGGATAGCAGCAACAAAAATGTCCACCAAAGCCTTACAGCAAGTTGTAGGGGGTAGGGGTGAGATTACCAGAGGAAGAAGAACAAAAGAGTACATTATTAGGATTAAAATAAATATCTGCTATGCACCCTTGGGAAGGAGGAGGATAATGCTAATAGAAAAGTATTAGACCCAAAATAAATGGCTTTTTTGCACCCTTAAGGTGCAGGAGGAGGAGAAAAAGGGACAGGACTTTTCATTAGATTATACGGGAGGTGTTGCAGCTCAAAGAACTTGGCCAAATTATTTTGTACATTTAACACCCTGCAGTAATACTGGTTGCATGATATTAAATGGACACAAGAGGGCAGTGCTCTGCAGCTCAGTTATACAGACTCTGCTGAAGAAAATCTTTGTTGGACTTGTAGGCTGATAACAAGGCTTAACTGTTTAATAACGAGCTAATAAACTACATTTCCCAGAGGAGCTGGCTGATGGGCAGAGGCAAATAAATACAGAAGCTTGGAAACACAAGGACAGGAAGTGGATGGAGACCAGGTGTGAGGAGAAGATGTGCGGGAAGCTGGAGGTCAAGGCTGGGCCAGGCTACAGAGAGTGAAGAAGTGAGAAGGAATTGCTGTGCGCCGACATCACTGACAAGCCAGACTGACAATCCTGTGAGCAAACGGACTGGAGTGCTGTCATCCGGAGTGATCTTTGATGGAGGAATCAAGTGAATATGGGGATCCCGTCTGCAGAGAGACTATCCGCTATCTGACTGAGGCCACGGATCGGGTGAGAGAGCTCCATACCCAAATCATCTAAGTTTCAAGTGACATTGATAAGTTCAGTTACTTTCTTTTCAATTTTTGTTTCACAAGTTATTGTGCTAAGGCCTAGATTGACCAGCCAATTCTGCCTTGTGGCCTACTAATTATTACATTCTCAGCACATCAAATCACAGGAGTCTGCTGCACTATATGCACCCTGCAGGTCAAGTTTCATTAGTGCTTCAGTTCCAGTCTATGCTACTTGCCAAGGAACTTCTTTATCACTTTAGTTTGCCACTCCTTTAAAGAAGAAATAACCCCTGCAGAAGTTTGCTTCTGCCCTTAAAAGTACATGCAAAGCTCATTCGTGCAGTTCGCTCTGCACTCCTGTGACCCATTCCCAGCTGACAGTGGGCTGACATCACTCATTTGGCCCATGCTGGGGAAAGATCCCAACTGTAAAGTCGGGGTCCACCCCAGTGTCTGGAGCCGCACCAGGCTCAGCCTCTCGCTAAGAGCCTGAGCCAGCCGCTCTCTCCCCTTCCACAGTCCAGTGCTCCAGTAAGAGTTGGGGGGGTAAAGCATACAGCGGTGACTGACAGTCACCACTCTCTGCTCAGAGCACCTGTCAAAATTCAGCAATCAGCTGGCATGTGATCGCTGAGTTCTCACACTTAGAGCCGGAGGGGGAAAGATGCAACATCGGACCAATGCTGCATTCACCTAAGTAAGTATGAATGGGGAAAAAGTCCCACTGCTCTTGTTTAATCTCATCTCAGCCTAATCTTGGATTTCACTCTGTGTGTGCTAAAGAAATACCATCCAAGATTTAAATCCTCATGCGTTCCAACTAGGGCCCCATCAAGCGTGCAGAAGATTTAACACTTCATCAAAAGGACATTGACATATTTCATTAAAGAGCTGTTTTCCTTTCTCAGAGTTAAACCCAGCCACTAGTAACTGAGAGCCCAAACATTAGTTAATCTGGCAAGTTGTTAGTTTCTCCTCAGCTCACTTGGGAAGAAACATCTCAGAACTGGAGTTACCATTTAAATTCTGAATTGCAGGACATTTAAGAACTGATTGAAGTTGTGATGTGTCATTTTACTGTGTTTGCATTTTGAACTTAATATAGACAAAATATCAGTTAATTCTAAACTGTGTGTAAGTCTATTTTTTGATTGCAGCCAGAGGGTTCTTCCGGCCAAAGGCCTATGAGGATGTCAGCAAGGGTTGGGCTTCCAAAGTGTCCCCAGGAAAGACAGTGAACCCAAAAAATACTCAGCAGCCCTCAAGGGGATAAACATGTAAGTAACATGTATAAAATACATTTATAAAATAGTGACAAATACAGCATCCAGTCTATGACAGTCGAGCGTCCAATCCCAACTCCCTCTGTCTGTTTTTCTGTTGAAGGAAGATTGAAGGAAAGGCCTATGGCAGAGGCGTCCCTTGGGTAGGTGTCATCCAGTGCGGTAACACTTGGTGACACCCACTCCGACAATCCCCGCAGAATGGATCAGATCTGCGGATTGAGCATAATGGATCGGACTCCGATCCATTAAGTGTCAACTATGGGCCCTATAGGAAGAAGGGGAAACGATGCATTAGCTACTAGGCTTTAGGAGGATGAAAAAGGTGCATTAGAAAGCAGTGACAAAAAAGTAACTTGTATCCACCAAGGAGGATATACCTTCTGCTGCCAGCTTGTATCACTGAGGTGCTGCACCCACCAAGCTCTCTGTTACCTTTTGCATTTGTTACCCAAATGGCTGTTACTTTACCATGGCCTATACACTACAGGCAGAGGCTGCAGACCACAACTGTGCTTTAGGCAGCAGACATGTAAAAAGACCCAGTCTGCAGAGAGTTTTCTAATTGCTGCCCATTCCAATGCTCACATACTGTTCTGGCACTGACTAATTTATCCCAAACACATAATATAACATATTTTTGGAATATTTTGGGGGAATAATTGAGGATACGGGAATGGGAAGGGTTTCGGGAATGTGGGTTTTTCATTTTTAAGTGCTTTTGCACACTTTATGTTGAAATTTTATTAAAATTTTAAGACAATGAACAAATCAACAAAAAAAGAAGCTCCCAAGCTATACTATACTGTTTTGCCACTGGTGAGCTTTAGCTTTTTTTTTTTTTTTGTAACAGTAACCTTTCTTATAGCTATTAGATCTGTTATATCCAGGGGCAGACTGACAACTCATGGGGCCCCTGGGCAATAGGGGATCATGGGGCCCTGTGTCCTTGCCCAAACTCAAAAAAGTCTATGAAAAAGGTACCAGGGGCATCTCATGGGGCCCCCTACTGACCCTGGGCCCTCGGGCAGTGCCGAGTTTCCAAATGGTCAGTCCGCCCCTGTTCTGGATGTATATAATATTTAGCATATGTAATGCCAGAGGAAACTGTTAGAGACTGCAGAAAATGAGAACTAAGGAAATCTGGTTAGAAGCATGCTGCAAAAGACAGAGAGTAACTAGGTAAATGCTACAGTAGGTTAGTAGAGATCACTGCTATCATCAGGGCTGTAAACTAGGCTCACTGCAATGGGGATCCAGGGCCCTTTATATGAGGGGCGTTCAAGTCAAACTTTTTCTAATTTACATAATAAAAGAACTAATTTCAAGGAGTGGGAATTGCATTTATTTTTTGACATACTCCCCTGCTACATTTAATACACTTCTCCCAATGTTTAACTAAAGTTTCTGTGTAGAAAGATTTTGTCAGGGTACCTGAACCATCCTAGGACAGCCTGCTTCACTTCGTCATCATTGTGTTTACCGTTCCCACAGAAAGATTTGTCTCTTGTGCAATTTCACATCAGCCTATGCATCGATTATTTAGGATTAGGCGTTCCACGAGCTGGATGTTCACTGAAATGACTGCTGTGGGCTGGGAACCACCACGGCCAGGATCGTCACTGATAGACATACAGCCATTTTTGAAACATATAATATAAATATATCTTTTTTGCATGTTTTGATAAATAAATTTGTGAAGCATATATCTAATTTATTTAATTGATGTAATACACTATTTTAGTTTTTTTTCCTTTGAGGTATACGTTTGGACACATGGAGATGTAAAAGCTGAATACGGAGGAATAATTAATTTGGACTTTGTGCATATAATAATTTTTTTACTGACACAAAAAGGTTTATTTATATTTCGACTTTCAAGGGTGAAAGTGGGACTTTTGGAGTGTCACATAGGGTTGTATTATTGTTTATTTACTATTTATTTTTGGATACCGAATTCATATCATAACATTTTTGAAACATGCACACAATTCAAATGTCTTCCTGCAGCTGAACTTCTAATCACCGTATGGTGCTTGAAGTCTTCTGTAGATATTTGTGGGTTTTATGCCTTCATTCACAAGAAGCTTCATCACCACACACTAATCCATACACGCACTAACACTGTTGTCTGCCATCCAGGGGCAGACTGACCATTTGGAAACTCGGGTACTGCCCGAGGGCCCAGGGTCAGTAGGGGGCCCCATGAGATGCCCCGGTACCTTTTTCATAGGCTTTTTTGAGTTTGGGCAAGGACACAGGGGCTCCATGATCCCCTATTGCCCGGGGGCCCCATGAGTTATCAGTCCACCCTTGCTCATAACCAATGGAATGATGTCACCACTCTCCATTGGGAAGGGGTGGCAAGGAAGTGCAGGCAAAGTGAGTATAAGGGGTCGAGGGTTCTGTAGCAGAGACACTATTACATTGTTTGGACACAGGGGCCCCATGATCCCCTTTTGCCCAGTGGGCCACATGAGTTGTCAGTCCGCCCCCCCTGCTGCCATCTTGATTAAAGGTCTCTGAACTGGCCTGTGACATGTGCGCTGCCTGCCAGTAATAGGACACATTACCACTTACTACTATGTGTAGTACCACCACGCTAGCATCCCTTTTTATACGTGAAAATTAAAAGTCCCAGTTTGAGTTGAACGTCCCTCGTACATACAGCTGAGGTGTATGAGAGTAGCGGTTCTCCAGGGTCTGTGCCTCCTCATTGGCTGAGATAGGCTCCCGCAACTGCTCTCGCACATTGGCCATTGGCTTCCACTACTGTCAAGCACAGCCAGTGAGCCAATGATGAGAGAGTGGGGGTGGTGGGGCCGAGTGACACCTTGTGTCTAAATGGACAGACAGAGCAGTGGCTTGGCAGACAGCCTGCTTGGGTGCCCTCAAAGCAAGCCACTTGCTATGGGGGGCACTAGTCAGGAGGGAGGGGCCAGGAGCATCAGCGGGGGACCTGAGAAGAGGAGAGTTGGGCCTGCTCTGTACAAAACCACTGGTAAGTATGGAATGTTTGTTATTTTTTAAATATATATGCATGCCTTTATTATCACTTTATTAGATTTGGGAATTCCAGGTTCCCAGCTACCAAGGAACTAGAATTTTCAGCACAGCCTACCTGTCTCTTAGCCAGGGGCAGACTGACAACTCATGGGGCCCCCGGGCAATAGGGGATCAAACTCAAATAGGGGATCAAACTCAAAAAAACCTATGAAAAAGGTACCAGGGGCATCTCATGGGGCCCCTATACTGACCCCGGGCCCTCGGGCAGTGCCCGAGTTTCCAAATGGTCAGTCCGCCCCTGCTCTTAGCGGCATGGTCTGACTTGTAGTTCCTTGACAACTGTTGGCAGCGGTTTGGTCTGTAAAATTGGAACAAGAAGGCAGGCGCAATGCTACATTGTGCTGAGTCCCACTTGCCAACTAGACAGATGTCTGGGCAACTTGGCAATAAAACTAATCTTCAACCTTAGCTGTGTAACAATTTACAGTCTAGAGCATTACATTTGCATTGTTTAGAAAACTGGGAAGCAATCTAGCTAATTAGCTCCTGAAACAAGAAAACAGTCAACGTTTTTCTTCCCCTTATCAAAATAACATATTGCAATTTAAACTTCTTCAGAGGAGCCGAGCTATAAATAAAAGTAGAAGGCACTAAAACAATATCACAAAGAGCTGCGCAGCTCAAAGGTTTTTAATGTGACTAATTAGACGGAGCTTTATTTGTGAACAAACCTGCTGAACAAAATGACGTTGCCGTATCATCGTCGCAAATGATAAAAGGCTTTCTGCAACTGGCAACACTACAGATCCGTTTAGGTGTGTTTGAAGATATCACAAGCTACTCAGTATGTAAATAGCTTTGTTTTTTTTTCCTTTCAGCTAAACGCATTAGGTAACTTTTATCAACTGCATTGAAATATTTTTAAATGAGCTCAATATTTCAAAAATGGTGGTAGTGTGCACTATTGATGATATATATACCTATTATTGTCCATGTTTTGTTTCATTCACTTGACTCCTAAATTTATCTCAATTATATAACTCTGTTTTAACTTACAAATTACATTTGAATCCTTTTCATTTTCATTTTGCAAATTCATATTAAGCTTCTTTATTCAATATTTATTTTATGTGTTTTTTTTTTCAACATGAAATTTGCAGACATCTGACAATATAACCCTTTGATCCAAAAAAAGCACACTTTTACAAACATCAAGTGTTCATTATCTGATGAAGCTTCCAAATTCTCATTTCCGTACACCAGTTGGCATCTGGCTTACTTTTTAGAAGCTTTTCTACTATAGAAATGACATGCATGCTTTTTAATTTGGTGTAAAAGAAGCAACACTTCATAAATTGTTGCACTAAAGAAATTACTTAATTTGGTGCTCAGGGTGCAACCTTTGGGGTTGATGTACTAAAACTAAAGCGTGAAAAATCTGATGCAGCTGTGCATGGTAGCCAACCGGCTTCTAACTGCAGCTTTTTCAATTAAGCTTTGACAATAAAACCTGGAAGCTGATTGTTTTCTATGCAGAGCTGCACCAGATTTTGCACTCTCCAGTCTTAGTAAATCAAATCTTTTCTGCCAAATAGGTGTATTGGTTTATTAATTTGGTGCACACCATTTCATCCTTGTTTCTGTGCATACATTTTGATGCACACTCGAATTTTAATTTCCGCCCCGGCTAATAACATTCTCCACTTGCCATCTTAAGTCTTAACCTCAACATGCTTGAAATGGAGGGAAGCGGAATTGTGTGTTCCTACCAATTTCTCTGATACTGCAGATGAGCACATTTAAGTGTAAAGTCGGGGGGAAATTTTGGACATATTTTGGCACTAACAAATGTTCGCTTGACATTGGTATATAATTGGCATTATATTGTATACAAAAGCAATTTTTTACCATGTTACCATGAAACATATCTAGGTTAAAGCAAAACTATAGGAAAAACTTTTTTTTTCATTTTGGATAGAGTAAGGGATTATTATAACCCCTGTCAGAATTTTTTTTGCAATCTGTGTCCCATTGCGGAGATTTCCCTTTATGTCCTGTCCACCAGCCAAACATGAAATCTCTACAAATTAAGGGTAATTCTTGGGGGGCCCACAGGTCACCAGAACTAGTAATCCCTTTGGAACATTTCCCCTCTATTACTATTCTGGGGACAATCCAAAATTTAGGATTTTCTTTTACTTTCACTTTCAATGATAATGGACAAATTGAGAGGGTGAATCTCCCTAATGGGGGCACAGACAGCAATAAAAGCTGACAAACTTTGTGATCCTCCTGCACTCTGTCCAAAACTGAAAAAAAAGTTTTGCCGTCAATTTATACATTACTACGACCTGAAAGTTGCGCGACTTACAGTGCGACTTTGACAGGTGACTCGAGTACTACTTTACAGCAACTCTGAAGCAGCTCCAAAGCAACGTTCAGGGAATGCCTGGGTAATCTTCCTTTAATGTCGGATCCAAATTACATCAATATAGATTAGGATTCGACTTGGAGGCAACTTCCATTAAAGTCTATGGACACAAGTCAGATAGAAGTCACCTTGAAATAGTACAGGAACCTTCTCTAAAGTTGGAGCGACTTCAGTAGTTCTAATTAGGACAGCTCTCATTGACTAACGGGATCTGCTGTGACTTGGGGTCTCACAAGTTGGATCCAGGGGTGGACTGACCATTTGGAAACACGGGCACTGCCCGAGGGCCCGGGGTAAGTAGGGGGCCCCATGAGATGCCCCTTGTACCTTTTTCATTGGCTTTTTTGAGTTTGGGCAAGGACACAGGGGCCCCATGTTCCCCTATTGCCCGGGGGCCCCATGAGTTGTCAGTCCGCCCCTGGTCGGATCCCAAGTCGTAGCAGTGTGAACTGAGACTTAATGATAGCAATTCTCAATTAATTAAGGGGCTCATCAGATATTTTGGTTCTAATTTTGCCATTTATGTGCTTTGTCTGTGAAAATAGTTGCACACAAATATAGGTGCTGCCAAAAACTGATCACATGAATAAAGCTTGATTGTGACAAGTGGGATATTTTTCTTTAGGAAGATAAAGCTTATAAAAGTCCAGTGAAGCAGGCAGCACAGTGGCTAAATTATTATTATATTATTATTATACAGTATTTATAAAGCGCCAATAGTTTGCTCAGCGCTGTACATTACAAAGGGGGACAGAACATGTGACAGAACAATACCAATACAATGCAAAACATGAGGGGATTGAGGGCCTTGCTCTTTCGAGCTTACAATCTAGGAGGGAGGGGATGGTGGCACAGGAGGAGATAGCTGTGGGGGATGGAGTGGTAGGAAGAGTGGAGGAGGTCGGCAAGTTAGCAGGGGGTGGGGTAGGCTTCCCTGAAGAGATGGGTTTTCAGGGTGTGCCTAAAGGAGAGGAGAGTAGGTGATAATCTGATGGGTTGGGGCAGGGAGTTCCAGAGGATGGGTGACACCCTGGAGAAGTCCTGGAGGTGGGCATGGGAGGAGGAGACCAGGGAACTAGAGAGAAGGAGGTCTTGTGAGGAGCGGAGTGTGCGTGCTGGGCGGTACTTGGATATTAGGTCAGTGATGTCGTTCGGGGCAGTATGGTGGACAGCTTTGTACGTCAGCGTTAGGATTTTGAATTTGATCCGTTGCGCAATCGGAAGCCAGTGGAGAGATTGGCAGAGGGGGGTGGCGGAAACGGAGCGGTTGGAAAGGTGAATGAGTCTGGCAGCCGTATTCAGGATCGACTGAAGTGGGGATAGCCAGCGGCGAGGCAGGCCAGTGAGGAGGGAGTTGCAGTAGTGGTAAGCACTTCCGCCTGGCAGTACTAGAGTTGTTGGTTCAAATCCTAACCACAGCACCACCTGCTTCAAGTTTGCATGCTCTCCCTGTGCCTGCATGGGTTTCCTTCAGTTACTCCAGTTTCCTCCCACACTCCAAAGACATGCTGGTAGGTGAATTGGCTCCTGTCTAAATTGGCCCTAGTATATGTATGAATGTGAGTTACGGACAGTGGCGGACTGACCATTTGGGCTCTCGGGCGCTGCCCGAGGGCCAGGGGTCAGTGGGGGGCCCCATGAGATGCCCCTGGTAGCTTTCATAGGCTTTTTTGAGTGTGGGGGTGAGGACACAGTGGCCCCATGATCCCCTATTGCCTGGTGGCCCCATGTGTTGTCAGTCCGCCACTGGATATGGACCTTAGATTGTACACCCCTTGAGGGTTAGGGACTGATGTCAATGTACAATATATATAGAAAGCACTGCATAAATTGACAGCACTATATAAGTACCTGAAATTAAAAAACTAAATAAAGAGACACAAACTGTTCTTCAGCTCCATGTGTTTGCTAAGCATAAATGCATTTTTACAAAACATTTTGTTTTAAAATAAATATTTTTAAGTGAGTTTACAGTTTTATGTTGGGTCGCAGTCATAGCCGCCTTGGGCCTGCGATCCATGAGCCACAGGTTGCACACCCCTGGTATAGATTATGATTTTGATTAGGGGTGTGATTAAAGTACAAGTACGGTTTGTGCTGAGGTGGGAGATAAATGTTAGATTTAGGACGACCTTCAATGCAACTGTTAAGCTTTATCAGCCAGGTAAAGTTGAATTAATTTAAATGATTTTTTTTTATTCAATATTTTTTTCTTTCGGAGTCCTTTTTTATTGGTTGCTTTTTTACTTTGTCTGCATTAAGATGAATAGGCGCCTCGGTGACGGCACTCAAAACTGCCAATCCGCAGCCACAACAGCAAAATGAATTATCAGTGGTACTGTAATCACTGCTGTTGTTTCATCTCGTTGATTCAACGATCAAGCAAAAGGGGTAATGTATGAATAAGCATCAACACCACTGTGTGTGGCTCTGGCACAGCACAGTTATCTTTGTAAAAGGCCATTCAAACCAATAATTACCATCTGGACAGTGCCGATTGGCCCTGTGCTGATCACATACACGCTCCTAAAGAAAAGATAAACTCTTTAGCACACTAAACTGAGCATGTGCAGCTTGCCCCCAAGGCTCTGCTCTATCAGCATATGGACTGGGGACAGTAGCAGAAGGGGAGGATCAGAGAAGACAGGATCACCAATCCTTTTTATACAATGCGGAGGATTAACCTCTTAAGTTCCACAGCGAGTATAACAAGCATGCTTTACTGCATATACAGACTGATTTTACTGTTGTGGGTTTAGTAACACTTTAATGATGGCTTCACAAGATGTACATACTTACCCTCCCTTTGCTCCACCAACACTCCATTTGTTCACCAGCTGAGAGGAAACGAGAATCTGTGTCATTACTTGGAGCTTACAAAGGACTGCGTACTTAATCCTGACTTGTATATGACAGCTCTGGGTGTCCAGAAACTAAACGCCATTGCTTGCATGTAGGAAGAAGGAACGTAAGTCATATGCTTCCCTTAACATGAAGTACTGGATATTCTTCTTCTCCAGTAGGGGAGTAAGTGAAGCTCAGTATGTGCTGCTGGTGGTGCAAAAAAAGTGTATATGTGGCTTTGCCCTGCATGTGCAACATCATAAGTACATTTTAAAGCTTTCTTCTCTGTTTCTGACAGCATGAGATATTATAAAAAGTAATTTGCATAATGAATGCATAATCTGCATAATTAATTGCCGTTGTATGAGAGAAAACGTTATTGTGAATATCATGTTTCTGCTGCTCAACTGATATGAACACTTAGGAGACACCACTGTCCCTGTACCTCCTACCCATCTCTGTCCTCCAGGACATTGCATCTTTATCTTCAATTATCAAAGGATTTGTGTTCAAGGACTGTATAGATCTACAGGAAAAATACAAAATTCATTTATTGACTAATAAGGGAGGGGATAACATAAGAGAATAATCTAAAGCAGCAGCAAACTGACTTCTGAGAAGGAAATATCTCTAAATACCGACTGGATACCAGCAGGGTCAGTGCTTCCACTAGGCAAATTAGGCAGCCGCCTAGAGTGCACTGCCACCTAGGGGCACCTGGGCGCAGCACAGACCTGCATTCGCTCTGTGTGGGACGTCGCCACGTCATGAATAATCCTTCAGCTGAGAGGAGGAGCAGCGGGGGGGGGGGGGGGGGGGGGTGGGGGGGGGAAGAAAGGACAGACGAATATGTTGGGTGTTTGGGGCCAGTGTAGCAGCTGATCTGCCACTGCTTCTAGTGTTCCTCTCAGACTCAGTCCCTTACTGCAAGCTGGCTGGCGGCTGCTGATCACTGTGGAGTTCCAGCCCTTCTCTTCCCATTCATCAGAAGAGGTGGAGCTGTGCCTGCGGAGGAAGGTAATGTCTGACTGATGTCTCATGTCTGTGTGAGTGTGACCCGGCCAGCCATCCATCACATGTGCAATGTGGCAGTGAATGCAGGGGTGGACTGACAACTCATGGGGCCCCGGGCAATAGGGGATCATGGGGCCCCTGTGTCCTTGCCCAAACTCAAAAAAGCCTATGAAAAAGGTACCAGGGGCATCTCATGGGGCCCCCTACTGACCCCAGGCCCTCGGGCAGTGCCCGAGTTTCCAAATGGTCAGTCCGCCCCTGAGTGAGTGATGACATCATCACGATTCCACAGCCTGCTCTTCTAGTGCCTGCTGGGCCTGCTGATCTGTGTCAGTGTTGGTGGTGGTGTGTTGTGTCAGATCTGTCACTGTGTGGGATTGCTCAGTTCAGGTGTTCTCTGTGTGTGTGTGGGCCGGACTGCCTGCTGTCACAGTGTTTTATCTCCCCTCATCATCCTTTGCTCACTGCAACTGTCACTCTGCCACTGCCAGCCACAGATACATTCCGTCACTGATTATGGGTGCTGGTGGCATCTTATGGCATTTATTTTTGCAAAGTAAAAGAGATTTAGGAGTTCCATGTTTTGTTGATTTAATATTTTCTATTGTTTTTAAAAATGTTTATTTTTTTTTTTTTTTTGGGGGGGGGGGGGGTAGCTGGGCTTTCCCTGGGGCTCAAAATAGTCTAGCATTGGCCCTGTATACCAGGTAAAGACAATAGTATAAGCTCTCATTATCTATGAAATAAAATCCCCCCTCTTCTTCTTTTGAGTGTTCAGCTAGCAGACTATCGGCTGGTATAGCTGGCATTCTTGTGCTCCCTGCTGTCTCAATGACTGTGCCAGTGCCAATTTTAATAATACTGTTTTGCCTACTCTCCTGCACCCCAAAAAAGGTCCAAGTTTATCTGCAGGGTTAAAGCACACTTGCTTGGAAGGATGGTCCTTTTTCCTAAAAAAAAAAAAAAAAAATATATTCTGACTCTTAACCATTGAGTGGTGGTCTTTCTCTTCTAATTCTATAAAATTTTATCTGAAGGACTTTAAAGAGGCCTCTTCATGCATGAGAGCAGCCTAACCTGTGTTGATGTACTCCACTTGATATCTTCCTCTCCAAATTGTAATAGTAAACACATTTTTTGATACACTGCCTCCAACCCATTCATTCTCAATTGTTTTTCATTTCTTTCTGTGTCACTCTTGGGGTGATTTACCCTCCTTTTTTATCCCGGTGACCACTCCAACCCATTCCGTCTCGCTAGATCTTTTTTTGTGTCACCCTTGTTTGATTTACCCTCTCTGTTTGTTCTAGTGGCCATTAGTAAATCTTTCATTGGAGACACCTGTATGCTATATCCCAAATTAAACAAGCCAAAATGTTTTTTGGCTTTAGGTATACTTTAATAACTAAAACATGACAAATTTTTTTCTATATTGCTAATAAGCATTTGAAATAGGTTACAAATTATTTGTTCACCACTGGTCAGTTTTGATATTAGAGACTCTTTGGTAAAAGAGCTTGCAACAGATTCAACTGAGTACTGAACTTCTACCAAACAATGCATCATCACAATGCTGGGTGTCATTGATTTAATTTTTTTTTCTTTTGTGCACTGTTTTACATTTTTTTAACCCCCCTAGTGGTCTGATTATGTCCATATTTCTGTGCTCAAATCGGTAAATTTTTTTGCATGGAAATATGTCGTTTTTTTATTGTAGACCTGTAATTTTTTAGGAATAACTCACTGAAATCTGTCCGAACAAGAGTCTATTAAACATCCCGGGTATGTTAAAATTTGAAACACGAAATCATAAATTTTAATTTAATAAATAATCATAAAAAATAATAATAGAATAATAATAAATTTAATTCAATAATATAATCAAACCAAAAACACTGAAATTTGAAATATAGCGCCAAGTTCGCACATCACTGAACAAAGTCACAAAATTTGAAACACGAAATCCTAAATTATAATTTAATAAATAATCATAAAAAATAATAATATAATAATAATAAATTTATTTCAATAATATAATCAAACCAAAAACACTGAAATTTGAAATATAGCGCCAAGTTTGCACATCACTAAGCAAAGTCGCAAAATCGTTTTCAGTGTCTGATGACGAATTTCCCCCACGAATCATTATCACTCAATTCTGCAAGTAGTTCTAATTTACTATCGCTGTTCTCTAGCTGGTCTAAAACAAATTTTGACCTAAAGGGATGCTTTTTGGACGCCATGGACGTTTCTCAGTTTCCAGGCAGAAAGAACAGTAAAAATGCAGGCAGGGCACAGGACAAAGCACTCGGGACAAAATGTATGTGAAATGGTTTGATACAGTAATGTTTTACTATGTGATTTTAGTGTATTTAGTGAATGTCACTTTTTGTCATTTTCAAATTTCCCGACAGTTACGTCCCCGTACGTCCTGACGTCGCAGGCGACGGAACCCGAAAGACAGATGCCTGCATCCGCCGGAGAACATTGCCGGGGACACTGCAGGAGGGACATTGCGGGAGCGCAGGACAAGGTAAGAGAAGAACAGATCCCAGAGCAGCGCTGCATGGTAAGCCCGAGTGTAGCTCAGGGTTACCGCTTGTGGTACTGAAACTTTACCCCGAGCTACACTCGGGAATACCGCCAGGGAGGCTACAGTGAGGTAAACTTAGAAAGAACAATTGGCATGTATAGGAAAATAGCATAAAAGAAAAATGTGATGCCTCACAAAATTAAATATAATGTAATAGAGTCCAAAAAAGGGAAATCTAAAATATTACATAATAATGAAGATATTGCCGATTCACCAAATCCAGTGGTGGTGTCCTCAGAACTGTATAACATGCAGTAAAAAGAGAGGAAAAAACCAGGGGAAAAGAAATCCACTGGCATAGAGGTCCTAATGAGAACAGACAGTGGCTAGAAAAAATAATAATTTATTACAAAGTCAAAATGACACAAATCAAAAATAAACAACCTCCACCTCACATAGACAAAATTGAATAAAATTACAACGCTGTCATGCAAGAAGACAACCCACGTTCCGGGATCCCGGCTCCACTGACATGCACACATGTGGCATGTAGTCTGATGCTACAGCTGGTACCTGATGATCACCATGGGACTTAACCAGTCATAGATGGAGCAATCTTCTTTCCTGCAACCACAGTCAGTGTTGACAGGGAAAAACCTGCTCACCTCACTCTTAGACCTCATAAGTGGGTCAAGATACACTCATCCAGGGGCGGACTGACCATTTGGAAATTCAGGCACTGCCCGAGGGCCCGGGGTCAGTAAGGGGCCCCATGAGATGTCCCTGGTACCTTTTTCATAGGCTTTTTTGAGTTTTGTGCAAGGACACAGGGGCCCCATGATCTCCTATTGCCTGGGGGCCCCATGAGTTGTCAGTCCGCCCCTGCACTCATCACATCATAATGTATACACCTGTGCACACCCGGTATAATATTCCTCTAATCTCCTTCCTGACATTGCTGTGCAAGTCAGATCCTCCCACTGGCGTTCTCATACACATCATACACATAATAATGGACACCCAAACAGAAAAGCAGAACCATAGTGCTCTCTATTTCTAAAACGTTTATTAGCACCCAGAATAAAAACACTTACAGGCAGGGGCGGACTGACCATTTGGAAACTCGGGCACTGCCAGTCAGTAGGGGGCTCCATGAGATGCCCCTGGTACCTTTTTAATAGGCTTTTTTGAGTTTGGGCAAGGACACAGGGGCCCCATGATCCCCTATTGCCCGGGGGCCCCATGAGTTGTCAGTCCTCCCCTGCTTACAGGATATAAGATAATTTAAGCTAAAGCATACATTCACTGGCCACTTTATTAGGTACACCTGTTCAATTTCTTGGTAACACAAATTGCTAATCAGCCAATCACATGGCAGCAACTCAATGTATTTAGGCTTCTAGATGCAGTGAAGATGACTTGATGAAGTTCAAACGGAATGGGGAAGAAAAGGGATTTAAGTGACTTTGAATGTTGCATGGTTGTTGGTGCCAGAAGGTCTGGACTGATTATTTAAAAAAACTGCTGATCTGCTGAGATTTTCACGCACAATCATCTCTAGGGAAATCAAGACTCATCAGATCAGGCAATGTTTTTACAATCTTTCTTTGTCCAATTTTGGTAGGCCTGTGCAAATTGAAGCCTCAGTTTCCTGTTTTTACCTGACAGGAGTGGCACCTGGTGTGGTCTGCTGCTGTTGTAGCCCATCTGCTTGAAGGTTCGATTTGTTGTGCATTCAGATATGGTATTCTGCATATCTTGGTTGTAACAAATGGTTATTTTAATTACTATTGCCTTTCTATCATCTCAAACCAGTCTGCCCATTCTTCTCTGACCTCTGACATCAACATGGCATTTTCATCCACACAACTGCTGCTCACTAAATATTTTCTCTTTTTCAGACCATTCTCTGTAAACCCTAGAAAAGGTTGTGTGTCAGTAAGGTTGTGTGCCCCTTCAAAGTCACTTAAATCCCCTTTCTTCCACAGTCTGATGCTCGGTTTGAACTTCAGCAAGTCATCTTCACCACGTCTAAATGCATTGATTTGCTGCTATGTGATTGACTGATTAGCAATTTGTGTTACCAAGCAATTGAAGCTCGAAAGAGCAGGGCCCTCGAACCCCTCGTGTATCACATTGTATTGTTTTCGTACCATCGCATGTTCTGTCCCCCTTTGTAATGTACAGCGCTGAGCGAACTGTTGGCGCTTTATAAATACTGTATAATAATAATTGAACAGGTGTACCTAATAAAGCGGCCGGTGAATGTATATCACAAGACGCGGCTCACCACCACCCTCCTGGATGGCCTCCAAAATGACATCACAGGCTTGGCTCCTCCCACCTATAGCATTACGCCCCATGAATGGGCTTTCTCAGTAGGCAGGGAGTCAGCATTCATAGAGCCCTAAATAGCCATTACATTCCTTATGAGCAGGGGCGGACTGACAACTCATGGGGCCCCCGGGCAATAGGGGATCATGGGGCCCCTATGTCCTTGCCCAAACTCAAAAAAGCCTATGAAAAAGGTACCAGGGGCATCTCATGGGGCCCCCTACTGACCCCAGGCCCTCGGGCAGTGCCCGAGTTTCCAAATGGTCAGTCCGCCCCTGCTTATGAGGTCTAAGAGTAAGATGAGCAGGTTTTTCACCTAGTTGATGGAGGCACATTTGGCACAAGACGAAGATTGAAGATTATATAGATGTCACATATTGCACAGGGGTGTTTCAGAA